CTTTCCAGTTACTTTCCTCTCCCCCCACCCCATTTAATTCCTAAACAGCCCTGCTCACAGCTGCCTTTTCTCTGGGGTGGAGGACGGAATGGGGTCATGCAGAGCACCAACGTCAACGGGCACCGCTGAGCCACTCCAGCCGCTACAAAAGCCGCACAGTGAGCGCTGCCAGCTCCATACGTCTGGGGAAAAGGCTCTGAGATCAGATCTTGGATTTGGACCCTGCAGACCAGCCAAAATTAAGTTTGTAACTGTCCACCTGACATACATAGTGTTGTACTCCCTCCCCACCCAATGTCAGTGGAACAGCCTGCTCATGTTAAGCAGGCTTTCCTAGTACATTGTTAATTATACACATGTCTAAAAGGTGCCAGTTGGGGCTCTCTGGTCACATTCAGTAGTTTAGGAATTCTCAGCCATTCAAACAAATATCCCTCCAGGCTTCAGAATGGCTGCACGTCCTTTGGGGCTTCAATTCCTTGAACTTCCCTGGGGAAGCTCCGATTCGTTGAGTATCCTCCAGGAATGCTACAATTAGAGAAAGTGTAGCAGGGTAAAGCTGAGAGTTCACCTCCATTTAATACATATGCATGGTACCCACTCCTAAAAGGCCTCTTAACTAGGAATGTCAATGTGTAGTCGAATACACAATTAACTGATAAGCCACTAGCTTATCGGTTAATCTTATCAACTACACTCATCCCTGCCTCTTGCTGTCTTTATATGGGGGAAGGGAGACTGGGAGCTGGTACAGGTGGGAAGCTGGTTTTTAAGCTGTTTTCAAGCCAGCTCCCTACACATATCAGCTCATGTGAGTCGCTTCTCCCCCTCCTCCCATGCTGCTGCCTCTCTATCAGCATAAGGAAAGATACACATGGGGGAACCGGCTTTTAAGCTGGCTCTCCTTGTGTGCTGGCTTCGCAGAGCCACCTGCCCCACACCTGCTGCCTCCCACAGAAGCAGTGGGGGAGGGGGAGTAGGCAGGAGCCAGTGCTTGGGGGGAGCCGCCTGTCCTCCCCACCCCCATCAGAGGCAGCAGCACCGGGGGAGGGGAGCCTGGTCTGTGGGATGCTGGCACAGCCTCTGTCCACAGGGAGTTTGGGCCCCCCACGGACAGGGGGTGCTGCCACCCCATGCTGCTACAGAGGCAGCAGCACAGGGCACCAGGCAGGATCCAGTCTGCATGGGAAGCTGCCTCTGATACATTCTGGGCTCCCTCTCATCTGTCCTACATCCTAAGCGTACCAGGTCCACATTGGTTGAGGGCAGGGCTCGATCCCTCAACATCTGGCTCTCAAGGCAGGTACCTTAGCCACTGTGACACTGAAGGATAGCAGGGGGATCCTCTGGAGTGGGTCTGGGAGCACACTGGCTGCTGGTCCCGCCTCCAGGAGCTATCGAATAATCATATAAGAACTAATATTTCGCCGGGACGATACATTGGCTTTCCTCTCTGGTTTTTCTAAAGATGCTCAACATTTGATGCTGAGGAAAAACATGCCAAGGTGGAAAAACATGAGAAAGGTGGAGCTGGGAGGGGCCATGCAAGATTCCCCCCTCACAACTCTGCCGATGCACCTTAATCCTGACCCATGCAATCCCTTGTTAACCAAGGGTACGTCTACACTACAACATTATTTCGAAATACTTATTTCGAAATAAGATATTTCGAAATAAAGTGTCTATACACAAAATGCATTTCAGAATAACATTTCGCTATTTTGAAATAGTGCGTCCACAGTGAGTGGACACTGAATCGCATTTAAGGCCGGCCGGAATCAGGTCCGGTAGGGCATCAGGTCAGGAGTTACTTTGTGTGGCTGCTGCCTGAGGCTGAGGTCTGTGCTTAAAGGGCCCCTTCCCTCCTCCCCACCCCGCCCCGCCCCAGACAGCCGGTTCTCAGGTTTCCCTGCTTGCTTGCCTACCTCAATGAGGGACAGCAAAGCATTTTGTCTCTGCATGCTTTGGTTGCCCTCACTCGGGACACCACAGCACTCTGCAACATGGAGCCAGAGCTGCAGCACCTCCCTCCCCACACACACACCCTTCGTTCCAGCACGTGTGCGTGTGAAAGGGTGTGACTGGCACACTCACCGGGAGTAGGCCCATTTCTGCAGCCATGCTCAAATGGAGAGAAGCTGGAGGACAAGGTAACTGGCCCACAATGAAAGCTGTGCATATTTCCTCTTACACGTAGCCCTATGACGGGTTCCAGCCAGTCTCCTGCAGCAACTCTGACTCCGTGTTCTCACCCTCAACGGCAGTAAATCAAGACAGGTGTGTTTTAGCTTGGTGCCCCACAATTGCCCAGGGGAGACACTTTCAGTAAGTTCCCTTGTACAACAGGGATGTTAAATATCGGTTAATTAAATAGTTGACGAACCTCATGAATTCTTATCAGTTACTCCACTATTCTATAGTCCCTGGGGATGAGACCAGCAGCCAGTGCGCTTCCAGCCCCACTCCTGAGGAGCCCCCTAATACTCCATGTTTCTGCCTCTGTATTAGAGGCAGCAGCACGGGGTGGCAAGCAGGAGCCGGTCCACGAGGTGAGCCAATTTAAAAACCACAAAGACCAGATCCTGCCTGGTGCCCCACGCTGATACAGAGGCAGCAGTGCAGGGTGGCAGCAGACTCTGTCCATGGAGGATGTGGAGCTCCCGAACCTGGCACGAGCCACAACTGAGCTGGGGTGACTGCCCGCCTGGTTCCTAATACACTTTAAATGCAAAGCCATAGCAGGTGTAGCTGCTGGCCAGCCTGCTAAAAAATTTACTAGCAAAGGGGGGAATGCATGTAGTCTATAGCATTAACCTATATGCTTTTGCTTATCAGTTAATTGGTTAATCGACTACACTGTTACATCCCTAATGTACAACCTCCCACCAGCCTATATCTATCCAGTGTCTCCCTGCCTCTACTTACAGTAGACTGTGAGCAGCACGCTGGCATTGGTCATTCCCACCACGTTCTCAGCAATACACGTCAAGAGGAACCCGTTATCCTCACTGGTGACATTCACCAGGGTCAGATTGATGGCATGAACATTGGTCCAGTTGAGGTTCGTCTGAAATTCCCCCACACAAAAAACAAACAATAAGGAAAAACTCAGCAAATGATGCCTGTCCACCCACCTCCCAGGCCCAGAGGATCCCAACTCCTGTATAAAATGCCCTGATCTCTAACAACCATGGCCATGCAAAACTTCATTTCATGGCTCACCACAGGCACGGCACTGTGAGCATCACAATGCATCCAGGCAAGGAGATATAACCCCAGCTAATGGAGATGGGCTAACATGCAATCAAGGGAGCTCGAAAGGTGGTAAACTATCCGCCCAAAGGAAGAGCCTTGGATTCAATATCTGCACTCCACCCGCTAATACTTCCTATTCCCTAGGGTTCCTAATCTGATGCTGGGGTGGACTATACAACCCATTTAAAACAGTCACTGATTTCACTTCTCTCCCGGGGTGATGACTCATCCGGCCCCATTACAATGCAAAACAAAAGAAGTGAAGACCCAGAAAATCCCCATGGCCAGCACTTCGGTTGCTGTGAAGTGTGTTCACACCATGGCGATGGACCTCGGCAAGGACAGTAAGTGCCTGGCCACCCAAGCCCCTTGGCCTCCTACCTGATGCGTATTGATGGAGTGCAGATCTGCAACCGTCCAGTCTACATCAGGCAGTGGCGACCCTGAGCCATTGCAGGTAATCACCGCGTTCTCGCCTTCCCGCACCGTCAAGTTATTGTGGCTGACGCTGATCTCAGGCAGATCTAAGGGAGTCAAACAAGAGGACACTTAGGGGGCACCCTGACCACCAAGACACAGAACGGGCACTTGGGTTCTGCCCCCCACCAGTTCAGTCTCCCAAGCAGACTTCTCCTTACAGCTAAGCAGCCTGCACCATCCTGGGCTTGCGAATGAAGGAGGGGGAGGGAGAAGAACAGAAGATGGCAAACAGCTTGGCCTTCTCATGCTGAAAGGGATGAGTGACATGGGGGACGTCGCCAGGTGGACGGATATTCTCTCTGCTTGGCAATTTGCACATTGCTCACAACTCAGGAAGTTCTGTCCAAGTGCCAGTTGTCATCCAAACCCAAATGTCCCTTCTCCCCAAGCCCCTTGGGCTGGTGCAGAGATCTGTGAGGAATAAAACCACTTCTACAGAATCACTGGCAAGAGATCCGGCGTGAGCTAGGGCAGAGAACAGAGCTCCTGGCACTTACAGTGGAGAGAGACAGAGAGAGTTTCTCGCTAATTTATAACAATCAAGAGAAGATGACCAGGGACAAGTCCTCGTATTAACAACATCTCTGCTAATGAAAGACACCCCTACTCTTCCCTCCAAGGTGCCAAAGAAATACTGATTTATAGCAGCTCTGACTTACTCCTCTGCCCTGCTGAGTCACCCAGGCACCAAACATTCACACAGTGTGCAAGAGACAGTGCCAGCAGCAAGAGAGAGGGGAGGGGGATACACAGCACAATGATTGGACACAGAATGCATGGGGGAGGAGGGTACTGAGGACTGCATCAGTAAAGGAGGAAGAGAGGGAGCCCTGAATAAACAAGAAGGGAATAGGAGGCAATGGGACAGTGCAATGGCTTCTCCCTCCTGAAAACGTGGGTTCAAACATTGACTCAGTGACCCCCACAGCAACAAGAACAGACCCATAACTCTGAATTCACTTTTGAACTCAGTCAGAATAGCCTCTAGGGACAGCAAAGGTGCTGCAGGTCAGGACTGAGATGTGTTAGCAGAGCTACATGGGGAGCCCAGGAGAGACTGCGATTCACTCTTGAGTAATGTCAACATAGCAATGGGAGCTGGGCAGGATCCTGTACCATACCCATATTCTGCCACAAGCCACGTATCCAACCCAAACTAGCAACACCATGTGCCAGGCCAGAATGCAAGGATCAAGTAAGCCTCATGTGAAACTGCCTTGAGTCATTTGGATGCTTGCCCATTCAATCTCTGAATGAAAGATTTAGCTCAGGAGGAAAGATCTTAGCTGGGCATCTTCTGTTCCTGCCTTTTCTCCATGTTTTTAGGGATAATTAGGGGGTGGGGAATCAGTGGAACAGTTTGCCCTGTAAGCCCAGGAAATTGATGTATGTAAACACCCTGTTCTCTCACATCCAATAGTAGAAGGAGTCCCCTCTCCCCCTTTCTTTGCTCACGAAGGATTTTCTAATCATTGAGGATTATAATTCTCATTTGTGGAGGAAATTACAGTTCTCTCTCTCAAATCTCTTTAGTTCACCTACCTGCAGATATTTCAGACCATTTTCAGGTTTTAATAAAGAAGAGTTAGAACAAAGAGACACTGTGAACTAGAAAGTCATAGCTGATCTCCAACTGATAATTGTGCATCTACTGTTACAAGAAATGCTTTACAATTCCTAGATTAGAGCAACGCCATTTTTTAAAATGTTTCTCTCTTTTCCCCCAGACTGGGCATCTAACAGATCCTACTCTACAATCTCCTTCCCTGTCCCGTTCTTGGTACAGGACCTTCCCTGGGTCCTGCTTGCCAGTAAGAGCAGTAACACAACTGACACTGAAAAGGCAGCAGATTTAAGTGTGAACAAAGAGAGAATGCTGGTAGAAGGAGCAGCGCTGGGTATGTCTAATGTTGCTCTTGGACCCACACAAAAAGACCATCGTGGAACAAAAAAATACGTGTGCACGGACATGCAGACACACGCACACTTAAAACTATAAGGATCTGCCAATTTAAAAGTGCACCAACTAAAAAAATTATTTTAAAACAATCAAACTGCCAGTGTCTCTTTAATATAAGTAGTTTCTAGCATCCTCTAAATAGAAGCATAAGCACATGAAGCATATCCTCTCTCAAAAAGTGGACAATTCCTGCAACTTCAGGCTAAGGCATGCACTGACCACAATGTGCCTTGCTTGATAATATGATACCATTGGGGGGAAATTTCTTCCCAAACACAGCTGATGGTTAACTAATGCTCTAAATCATGAGGAATAATACTCCAAATTCCACTAGTGATGCCACTGATATTCATAAGCTATTCTAATCCATTTCAAAAAGCTCACTCTGACTTGCCTTAGTATCCTGCATCAGTAAGTTCAATGGGTTAACCAGACGTGATTCTGGGGAGGGTTTCAATGATATTTCTCTGTCACTTAGCACTCCCTATAGGATGGACCAGAGTCGTGAGGGGTCCTCCTAGCCTCTTCTGTCTATAGCCTGGGGAACAAGGTGAACCTGAGCATGCAGGGGATTTTCCTTACCACACTGGCTGATGTTCATTTCCTGCAGGGGAATGACAGCAGCCTCCACATTCATGCAGTACAGTTCTTGGCTCTGCAGGTTTGCTTCACCCTTCTCTTGCCAGAGCTGAATCCAGCGGATGTCACAGCTGCATTAAAAAAAGTTACTTTCGAGGCTCCTGCAGAGAGAGAGAGAGAGAGAGAGAGTAATAAACAAAGGGGTGGGAGGCAAACTAACAGGATTATGCTTGATTGCATGGGATCTCCACAGAATAGCTACCAATTGTAATGAGGGAGGGTCACCCTTGGCATGTGCTTCCAGGCTAAAATGACTCAGCGCAGGGTTTCCTAACGTATGGGTCACAATCCAAATATGGGTCACCATTAAGTTTCAAATAAATGACTCAGCGCAGGGTTTCCTAACGTATGGGTCACAATCCAAATATGGGTCACCATTAAGTTTCAAATGGGTCGCCAAATGTCTCCCCAGGTGGCTCTGCACTCCTTCCTCCCCCCTGTGTTTGAATTGCCTTGGGTCACTAAGTCTTCTTGAATTGTCAAAATGGGTCCTCATCTGGAAAAGGTTGGGAACCACTGACTCAGAGGGATAGCTGTGTTAGTCAGTAGGGCTGTGTCTAGACTGCATCCCTTTTCCATAAAAGGGATGCAAATTAGACATATCACAATTGCAAATGAAGCGGGGATTTAAATCTCCCATGCTTCATTAGCACAAAAATGGCTGCCGCTTTTTTCCGGCTCGGCGCTTTGCTGGAAAAAAGCGCCAGTCTAGACGCGGATCTTTCGGAAAATAAAGCCTTTTCTGAAAGATCCCTTCTCTCTCATTTTAAGATTTAAATCCCCGCTTCATTTGCAATTGCGATATGTCTAATTTGCATCCCTTTTATGGAAAAGGGATGCAGTCTAGACACAGCCTAACTGAACAAAACCCTTAAAAAATAATGAATGGTCCAATTAGAAAGACATGAACTGGATGGGCCTCTATATTCAATACCGTAATGACACCAAAAGCGAAGATTTGGGCATTTACAGCCCACTCTATTAGCCACATTTAACATGGACACTCTAATTAACAAGATTTTTTTTCTTCTCTTTCTCCTCATCATCCCCTCTTTCTGTTGTGGGCACAACCAACTTCTTCAGATGAAGTGTGTTGTGCTCACAAAAGCTCATGATACCATCTACATTTTTTTGTTAGTCTCCAAGATGCTGCAGGACCATTCGTTTTTTTTTTGAGGCTAAAATGAGTTTCTCTAGACTGGGGAGATTAAGGACTCCTGGAGCAGCAAGAGAAGGAAAGGCTGTAAGTGTTCTTAAATCCAGGTGATATTTGGCTAGAGGGATGAGGCATGTAGTTTAGACACACCCCTGGAGCAGCAAGAGAAGGAAAGGTTGTAAGTGTTTTTAAAGCCAGGTGGATATTTGGCTAGAGGGAAGCGGAGGGCAAGGGCTGGAACAGCAAATGATGCTGAGGTTCAGAATGGAATTGCATTGGTGGAAGGTCATATGCACAAGTGCTGACCTGGAATAATCCTAGGTTGAGCTGAGCTAAAGGAGAATCTGCACACGAGGTGCAGTTGTCACTCACTTGCATGTACTCCCCAAACACACAGGCATCTGTGTTTCACAGGAGCTGAGACATTTCACATTCACGTTACACATTGGAACACCCTGGGACTACCTGGTTGTTACATTGCTCTACCTCATTGCCACCTGGCACAAGCAAGGACTGTCTCCTAGGAGCAGCCTGACCCCTGTCTCTCAAAGAAATATTTATAGCTTGTGTCATAAGGCCCCAGTTCTTGTGGGGGCAGGACCTTCTGAAGGGTGCTCAGTCAGTTCAGGCAGGGCCTCCAGCAGAGAATGCTCAATAAAGCTGGTAGCTCTTGTCCTTACCACTGCATCTTAGTGTAATAAAACAACGCTGCTGGTGATCTAGGACACCGATAAACACACAGCATACCACACACTTCAATTCAATCAAACAGTGCTGTGCTGGGACCCTTTGACCTGGTTGGGAGGGAGCGTTGCCTTTAATAGACTTCATTTAAAATACACTTACACGTATTTTATATACAGATCATTTTATTATTATTGATTTTCCAGTCTATTAGCCATTTTGTTTACGTCTTTGAAAACCCCTTGTCATTCCCCTCGGAGACATGAGGTCACTGGCTCCCGCAGGATGATGGGAACCCAGCCCTGCTTGGCTGGAAGGATGAGCTCTGGGGTAAGAAGATGGAGTGACTCAAGGATGTAACATGGAGCAACATAGCAAAGGGTGTGACATGCAGGGTACAATCCGGACTAGTTGGGAGCTGCATCACCCCTGCCCTGTGACGGGGGGTAGTGCCAAGGTGCAGTAGCCTCTCTCTTGGACTGCTCCCACCTCTGTCCATTGTGTGCTGCAAGCAGGCACACCTCTGCTCTCACCAATCTTGGCTGTACTGCAGGGTGGCCCCAACACACTCCCAATCCCAGATCTTCCCCTGAAATATATGTCCTGCACTGCCCAGCCCATTCCTGGGCAGTACAAATATATTAAGTCCACTATTCCTTTAAAGGAGTAATATGCATTCTTATTACCTTAAATAGTTATCCAGACATTTCAACTTTAATACACTGCATTAGATGAAATAGTAAAACAAGTTTATTAACTAGATAGATTTTAAGTGAGTACAAGTAATGAGGCATAAAAGTCAGAAACGGTTACAAGGAAAATACAGGTAAAACACTTATAAGGTGCCTAACTTAACAACCTGTATTAGATTCGGAATCCCTTCCCCAGAGTTCTACAGCTGCTTCCTTTGCCTTTTCAGGTGCAGTGAATGTGAATAGACATAGGGGTGTCTTGCCATATCTGCTCATTCTTTTTATAGTCCTGCCCCTCCTTTCAGAAGCATTTCCAGTTGGGAGCAAGGTGACAGGCCATCTTTGTGAAGGAGACTCCCTCTTTGCTAAGATGTAGATTTTTGCTCCCTGCCTCCTTTCCTGTGAAAGAATAGCCTCTGAGCAGGGAATGGTCCATTAGCCCCGCATACACCTGACTGAAGTGGCTGCTTGCCCTTTGTCTCCAAGGAACTGGTCTGCCTACTCTCCAGACTTATCTGGAAAACATACTTCTAGTCATGGTCTCACAGTCTGTTTATAACTTCACATATTACTCTGACACGTGCTTTTTGCCATTATATTATTGATCAGCAAAATATTTAACATACAAATAGTATCACAATAGCTTACAGGATGTGAATACAAGGATATATTCAGTCACAGAGGGTCTTCAGGACTCAGCCAAAGACACAACAGGTTTCCCCACCACAGACACAAGCAGAAGTCAAGAGAAACCAGGAGGCATAGGAACTGGGAAGTGCAGACTCAGCTATCTGAAAATGGAAGGGTCCTTTCCCACGCTGGGATTATGAAAGATTCAGCAAGCCCAGAACACCCCCACCCATGGAGTCTCAATCTTTATATCCCTACATTCCAAGGTCTGGCTTAGCTGACCCTGCCAGAGGCACTATGCCAATATTCCTCTGGTTTCCTCCTGCTCGTTCTGCTAATGTTCATTAAAAAACAACATACTCCCCACTCCCACCCCAGATTCTGATGAGGTGTACTGATAACCATCCAAACAGAACCCACAGCAATGCTGCTGAAACTCTAAGGCCTGGTCTTAGGGATTCCAGATGGTTTCGACAAAAATACCGGACACACTTGACATTACATCACAATCTACATTACATCTTATTTAGAAAATACTGGACATTTATATTTTCTCATTTATAGTTTCTCAATTTGTTTCCCGAACAGAAAGCTCAAATATTGGACTGTCCGGTTGAAAACCAGACACCTGGCAACCCTACCTGGTCTACACTAAAGGAGAAAGTCAACTTAAGATACAAAATTCCGGCTATGCTAATTACGTAGGTGGAGTTGAAGTATCTGAAATCACATTTTGGTGCTGTCCACACAGCGGGAGGTTGATGGGAGCACACTCTCCCATCGACTTCCCCTACTCCTCATAAGAGCAGGACTAATTAGAGTGCTACTTAGTGTGTCTTCACTAGACCCACTAATTTGAACCTCGGAAGATTGATTGTGGTAGCTTTGATCTTCTCAGTCATGTAGACATGGCCCAAGTTGGGGTGGGGAAGCTTTTTTGGGTCAGGGACTACTGACCCACAGAAAAATCAATCAGGGGCCGCACACAAGTGAGAAGCAAAAACCCCAAAAGAAACCCTCACTGATGTGGCCCCCAACTGAGAAGGAGAAAGACACTCCTCACATTCCCATAGCACACCAGAGCCTGGGGGGACCCAGGCTGGTAGATTTCGGGAGCACCATTGAAGGCTCCCCAACACTGGGAGAGGAGGGAGCTCTGAGCCTTGGGGGACAGCACATGCTTTAGCGGGTTAGCTAATAGCGGGTTTGCTAACATGAGTTACATCCTGAGACTCAGCAGCGAGAAGGGGGAGACTAGAAGAGAGGGGGAAATTCTGCTTGGCTGGAAACATGGCCCTGAAATCAGGTTGCCTGCAAGAGCCACTGCCCTCACAGCACTTCAGGGGCAGATCTGCAAGTAATAGCGAACAGTCTTCCCGGCCCATCGATAATGCATGAAGCCCCATGAATAATGCAGAAGCAGCACACTGCAGGGTGGAATTTACCAAAACCTGCCCCAGAATCAGTGATGCAACTTCCCCTAATCGTGGCACCCTGGGGAGCTTTTGCGCAAATTAACTCCTCTCATCGACTGGATGCACCACATACCAACGTCAGCTGGCACGTTGCCACTCGGGGGACAGCGCTGCTTTTTAGCTACAGCTATTGATTTTCCTTTATGCTTTTCCCCAAAGCACTGCTGGTAGGTTGAGGATACCTGCTCCCCTTGCTTGAACCCAGGCCACCAGGCCAGCTGATTCCCCGGAGTGGGGTATATTCTCTATGCAACAGACAGGGATTTCAACATCCTGGTTGTTCTACTTCTGTATAAATCCCCCTGTTCATAGTAACTAAAACATAGTTCTCTTCCCATTCAACCCACTCTCAGGGTACGTCTAAACTACATGGCTCCGTCGACGGAGCCATGTAGATTTGTTGTTTTGGCAAAGGCAAATGAAGCCGTGATTTAAATGATCGCGGCTTCATTTAAATTTACATG